AAAAAAAAAAAAAAAAAAAAAAAAAAAAAAAAAAAGAAATAAGGAACGAGGCCCCACACTGACAGACTGGAAAATGTCAGCATTTATCTAAGCTGGTCCTGTCATGACCACAAAGTCTGTGTCCTTTTACTGCATTTGAATGTCTGGACCTGAGTTCTGGACTGGCTGGGACTTCAGAGTTCCTCTCTTTGTTCCCAATGGTTTCTCGGCCACAGTAGGAACTATGGGGAAGGAGAAGAACTGATGTTTTCCCAAGTTGCTGATGGGAAAAATGTCCATATGGTAGAATCAAGAGAAGACAGACCTTCAGATTACATGAATATACCCATAAAGAATGCAAACAGAATACACTGATACACATATGCACATGAGCACACACATGCGCGCGCATGCACGCACATGCGCACACACACAGAGTGTACTGATAGGCACACACATAAAGAATGCAATAATAGGCAAACATATACACAGAATACCCTGAAATGCAACCACAGAATGCACTGTCATGCAAACACACAGAATGCATGGATATGTAGACACATGCAGAATACTAACATGCAAGCACACATAGAATGAAGATTTGTATATATATGCAGACTGCACCAATATGCAAACACAAACAGAATATACTGATATGTACATACACAGAGAGAATACACTGATATACACACACAGAATGCAATAACATGCACAGAATACACTGGTAAGCACACATAGAATGTACTGAAATGCAAACAAAAACAAAATGCACTGATATGTAAATACACACAGAATACATTGATATGCATTCACACAGAAAACACTGTTAGGCACATATAGAATATGCTGATATGCATACGCAGATATATGTCCTGATATATCACACAGAACACATACACACATAATGCACCAATATATTTATGTGAATATACATATATACATAATATTCATGATACCACCACAATTTATTTTTTTTTGGTGGGGTTAGTTCTAGGATTTAAACTCAGGCCTTGTTTTGCTAGGTAATCATGCTTACCACTTGTGCCATGTCTCTAGTCCTTGTGCTATTTGCTCATGACTTTACCAGTGCTTCCCAGAGAGCTACAATGATCAATCTGTTATCTGAAATACAGTCTTGCTATGTTTTAATGAGGGTGGCTTCAGATTGTAATTCTCCAGTCTCTGTCTTCCAAATAGCTAGATTATGGGTATAAACCACTGTGCTTGGCCATACCACAATTCTTCTAGATAATCTTCCTATTTTTCTGTGTATCAAAGTATCTGAGACTTAAAAGTCACCTAGGTGACAGGGATAGGACACTGAAGGAAAAATCGTTTTCATTTGTATTTAGGAAAATATCACATATAATTCAGAATTGAAGCCATGGTTTTATGGGAGAAAGCTGACCTTGTAAAAGTCAACTTACCATTAACATGATTAAAGGAACTCAGCTTTTCAAATGATAATTTTTACATGTAAGGGAGAAAACTGTATCATTTTATTTTCCCAAAGCAATTCATCACTGGAGAAAAGGTATTGGCATAATTTCATTTATGATAAAGGAGACTCTAATTACCTTGACAGAATCCAGTAAACTCTTAGGAAAAAATCGCTTTAAGCCAACATCTTTTCTGAAATATAAAAAGAAGCATATTAACAAATGATACCATCAAATCAATTAATGACATACTTGCAAGAACATGAAGCATTTTAAATTATTTGTCCTCCCACTTACTATTCAGGAAGGACATAAGTATAACAAGGCTCCAATTTACCGGTAGGTAGATAGAAGTTATTTTCTAGCTATATACAAAAAACAAGAATCCAAGTAAGTAGAAACCTTTGTTCTTCTTCACTCTTTTTGATTGAAAAACTTTCTATAAAACACTGAATCTTTGTAAATCACAATGGGTAACAAAACTGTTGTTTAAAGAAAGCATTTGGCCTGATTAAAAATAGATTCAGGGTATATTCTGGAATTTTTAAAATTAAATTTCAGCAATTTCCTAAGTCAGGCAATAAAACCAAGTTTTCCATTATTAGGAGCATTGAAATAGTTGGTCAAAAAAAAAAGAAACAGACTGGAAAGAACATTTTATGATTGCTTTTCTCCTTGCTTTAGGTATCAAATTACCAAATTTGGGCCAGCATGGCACCTGGGTGCCTCTAGGGAAAATACAGAAAAATCAAGAAGCAAAGTGGAATATGGGTATCTTATTCACAGTCATCTAAGGAAACAAACTGAATATGAACTATCAAAAAAAGCATTTTTCCGAAATTAAATTATCTGATTCATCCTCATCCAAACATTTAAATCCCTTATTCTATAAGTTAACTACTAGGTAGTACCTAAACCTTGTTAAATTCAACTATAGTCTCAGTTTTCACTTTTTTCCCCCATTTTCTTCTCTTTGTGTTGGCCCCTGGGCTTGAACTCAGGGCCTGGGCACTATCCCTGAGTTTTTGTGTTCAAGGCCAATGCTCTACCACTTGTGTTACAGCTCCACTTCCACCATTTTTGGTAATTCATTGGAGATGAGTCTTGTATATTTTCCTGCTGGGGCTGGCTTTGAACCATCATTCTCAGATCAGCCTCCTGAATAGCTAGGATTATAGGCATGTGCCACCTGTGCTCGGCTCTCATTCTTTTATTTTTATTATTATGTTCACTACATCCTACAAACATTTTTCTCAGTTCTAAGACATATTGTTTCCCGGTTACTATTGGTTACTTCAAACAAATCCTGTTTCCCTTTCTCTCTAACTACTTTCACTTGCCTCTGCAGAACTGCCTTATTTATCCCTTCTTGGCCTTTGGCTAAGAAAAAGTCAACAACTGGTATTACCTAATTTGATTTGGGGACATGAAGAAGAAAAAGACCTACCCACATTTCTTTTATTGTTTCCTCCTTATGACTCTAATACACTACTGGAGAAGGAAAAAAGGGTACTCTATATAAAAGAAGATGTGGTCTAGCCCATTATTCCTCCTGCAGCAGTTTCTTTCCTATCTATCCTCTCAAGCTTCTATTCCATAGTAAAAAGCACACTTTCCAATCAGAGTTCTGGATTTGAATCTGGCTCTGCCATAACAATGGGGGTCTAGCTACAACACCCAGGAATGGCTGTGATCCACTTGTAAGGTGAGGCTGCCAAATCCTACTGTATGCAGTGGTGCCAGGAGTAAAGGTGGACCTATAAAGGTCCTAGAACTCTGTAGCAGAAATGCTCATTCCTCTGTAAATGCCCTAGCAGTCCCTCTGGTTAAGAGGACAGTAGTGTAATAGCAAAAGTAGGTGTGTGTGTGTGTGTGTGTGTGTGCGTGCGCACGCACACACACACACACACACACACACAGGTGGGAAGAAGCGGTATGACCCTGTGGACCCGGCAGCAGGGCTAAGTAGCCAGACCAGGTACACGAGAGTGGGGGAGAGAAGAGGTGGAGTACTGACATCTCCTCCAAGCCTTATGGCACCAACAGTTCAATTTCTGACATCTGGGCCTGGGTCAGACACATGCCTTCCTTCCAGGCCCAGCTGTCAGCCAGGTTTTGGAGAGAAGACCAGGGCATGGATGGCCTCTTCTCAGCAGGGAGGCTGTCCACATCCATGAGGGAGGCTGTTTAGACATCCATTTTCTCAGAGACAGGTGGAGAGAAAGGATTTATCACACATATTTCTGTTACTAATGGGAAAATTAAAGTTGGACAGAGGATGTACATTGAAGAAAAGGGAAAGAGGGCATATTTCTTTGTGTTTTTGTTTTTTTTAATTGTGAAAATACTGTACAGAGGGGTTACAATTACATGAGCAAGGCATATTTTTTATGTTAATCATTTGTATATGACTTCAAAGCTCCCTCTGAATTGATGTTACTATTAATGTTACTTTTACTTCAAAGGTAAAGAAAAGTCCATTAGAAAGACAAAAAGCTTACAGTCAATGCATACAGCATGAATACAGTTTTTTTTTTACTACTTTTAAGTAATAATGAGTTTACAATATTTGTTACAACTATTTGTTAGAACTAGCATCGGTTAGAACTATTAGATATACTGCAGGTGAGAAAATAAAACAGAGGCCAAAGTACTGCAAACATGGATCCATTCAACATTGTCTCCAATGGACTCTAAAAGACCAGCTACCTTAGCCTCTTGTGGTAGAGAAGCCTCAGTGTTCAAAGTTTTGAGTAAAACCTATTCCAGGCATCTAAATTTCAATCTCTTTCAGGAAACCAAGTAAAGGCTTTAACATGAGGCTGCCTCTCTCTAGGCTGGGTTTGAACTGGATTAGAGATGCAAACTACTATGCAGCAGCTTTACCTCAGGTGACACAGTCTCTTTGAGTCTATATTCTACAAAACTACTGTATAAGTGAATTAAAAAAGAAATAAAACTTACAAGCTAGTGTTGGTAGTTCATGCCTGTAATCCTAGCTACTCAGCAGGCTGAGATATGAAAATTGTGATTAGAAGCCAGCCAGGCAGGAAGGTCCATAAGACTCTCATCTCCAATTAACCACCATGTAGATGATAGAAGTAGAGCAGTGGCTTAAGTGGAAGAGTGCTAGCACAAAAGCTCAGGGACAATGCCCTGAGTTCAAGCTCCAGGTTTGGCACATGCACGCACGCACACGCACACGCACACGCACACACACACACACACACACACACACACACACATACGTACACAGACAAAAACTACACATCATAAAAAACTAAACTACTGAGCTTCATTACAGCTCATTAGTATTAACTACAAAAGGGTGCATCCTGAATGCATTTAAACCCCCAAAAAGCCTAGCCCACCGGAAGGTTTCAAAATTCTGCCAAACCCTGGTTATTAGTTCCCCATCATCAATTCAGAAGGACTTTGGAGTGACACACAAATGACAGATCAGTGCTATGTTGTCTAATACAATAGCTGTTAGCTACCATTAACTTTAAATTTCTGTCCTGCTCTCATTAGCTACGTCCCAAGTGTTCAGGAGCCCCAACTGGTCACTGACTACTGGATGGACAGAGCGACTCAAGTGGAAAGCTGCAATGTGCAAGGTCACAATGAACACTTTGGGGTTCTGGGAGCCCTGTAATCCTAGACTCCAGGTGGTAAACCTGAGGGCTTCCCAGTAAGGCAAGGAGGGGTGTGGTAGGTGATCTGGGTAACAGGACAACTACCACGGTACACACAAGGCTCCTAAACCCCTGGAAATATGGAAGTTGAGATGAGAAGGGTACTCACTAAACATGGTATAGCAGCACCAAAGTTGTCTTAGGACAGCACTATTCCACACCAGCACTCTCTCCCTGGGGCCCTGTCTGTCCACAGAGGGGGACCTCAAGAGGCCCTCCGCATTATCTGCTTCTTGTTTGCCCATTGGGACTATAATCTGTTCTGCAAGTGCCACATTATTTCAATGTGAAGCCACAGGGCAGTCTGTGCTCATCTGGTTACTCACCAAATTATCTGAGAAGACAGCACCACCCAGACCAAAGGGAAGAAACATCACTCGAGTATTTCCTGCTCCTTTTTTAGGGTGTTTTGCTTGTTTGTTTGACAGGGTGTCTCTGAAGCCTGGACTCTATATAGCTCATACGGCCTGAACTCATGAACCTCCTGCCTCAGTCTCAAGTGCTGGTATTATAGATCTGTGTTACCACATCTGACCTAGACTTTCTCTTTCTTTAAACTTACTGAGGTAAACATCTGCTCCACAGTATAAAAGGTACAAGACAATAAACATTCAATAAATATGACACTAAAGATACAGAGTAAGATTTTTAGGGATATAAAAGTATTAAATTTTTTTGCTGTACTGGAGTTTGAACTCAGGCTCTTGTACTTGCTCAATTGGTACTCTATCATTTGAGCCATACCTCTAGCCATGTTAATTATTTTGATGAAGTCTAGCCAATTTTTCTGCCTGAGCTGGTCTCAAACCATGACCACCCAGATCTCAGCCTCCTGAGTATCTGGAATAACAGGCATGAGACATAGGCACCCAGTTCTTAAAATTATTTTTGTGATCAATTTTAAGCCAGAAATCTATTATATTTAACAGTCCTTTAAGGGAACTGTTGACTGATAGGACCTGCTTTCTCTTTCCCTTTATTCAACCTCCTAATCACCTCTGCACTGATTCCTGCCACATTTAGTAGCTCTGAAATAGTGTACTCATACTCGAAGAGCTATGATCTCCTCATTGCCTGCCTTTACTTAGATGACAGCACACTAACCACCCAGAATGGTCTGAAAGGAAAGTTGTGTGGAATGGTTCCTCTACCCCACATCTGTGCACAGCACTCCAAGGACTGCTGAACTATTCACAGCCTGTGATCTTGTGTACACATGTGTGTGTAAACTACCATATAACAAGCTTTTACAGACCTCAGCTTAGCTCATGCACTATTGATTTTTAAGTCCTTACATGAAGGATAAATCTATTTCTCTTTTGGGATTTATTTCTCTTAAGATTCTGGTCTTATCTTTGGACTTCAATACACTGTGGCCATAATTTCATCAATATTCAAAGCCTGGGTATAAAAGCAACCAAAACTAACTTGAAGATATATAACTTAAATGTGTATTCTCATATAAGTATTTGTATCTAATCCTTTCTCCAAAATGTTCACAACTGAGTATTTTTAGTCAAAAAAGTAGTACTTAGGTACTTAAACCTCAAGATTAACTGAATAGAGCCTTCCCACAAACCTTGATAATGAAGTATCACTGTGAGCTGGCAAGGTCCTAAAAGGGAAACTCACATATAGTACACAGCTGTATCCTGGACAGCAGAGAACAGAGCATGCCATACCTTTCCCCTTCATGAAGGCTGAACAGCCATGAGATGAGTGAAGACTGGCAGCCACCTCTGACCATGAGAAGGCCATGGCTTATGGAATGGCAAGATGGAAGGAGCCAAGGCCCCAGAGACCGAGTAAGTCCTGGACAAGTCCTACACCCACTGTCTAGGATTTGCTTCAGTGAGAGAGAAGCACACTGATGCCTCCGTGGAGCATTGCCAACTCCTGCTTCATCCAGTGGCACCCCATTCTGCCCTGTACTACAGGCAGTTAAAGACAGCCCTGACCACGAAGACAGGAAAGACACTGAAGACAAAGCACAGATATAATTAACCTCAGGTGATTAAAAAAAAAAAAAACTTTTTACAATACTTTTTCCAGTGCTGAGAATGGAACCTAGGCCAACATGCAAGCTAGTTAAACATTTTATAAGTGAAGTATACAACAGTTCTCCCTCATTGAAGCTTAAGTTTTAAATTTATTCATTCAAGAAATATCTATAGAATGCCTAATATATGTTAGGTACGCTGTTAAGTATTAGAAATGCCAGCAGATGCCAATACTGATGCAGCTACTTTCTAAGAGAAAGGAGAGACAATTATATAAACAATTATAATAAAATATACTAGGAGGCTATCCCAGGTAAAAACAAGACTTTCTCTAAATAACTAAATCAAGAGCCAGGTTCTGGTGGCTCACAACTATAATCCTAGCTACTCAGAGGCTGAGATCTGAGGATCATGGTTTGAAGCCAGCTGGGGCAGGAAAGCCCATGAGACTCTTATCTCCAATTAACCACCCCAGAAAACCTCGAAGCGGCACTGGCTCAAAGTGGTATAGCTTTAAGTGAAAAAGCTCAGGGAGAATGTCCAGGCCTCGAGTTCAAGTTTCAGGACCAAATAAATAAATAAAAAAAAAAAATAAAGCTGAGCATTGGTAGCTCACACCTGTTATTCTAGCTACTCAGGAGACTCATCTGAGGTTTGCAGTTTGAAGACAGCCCAAGCAGGAAAGTCCATGAGACTCTTATCTCCAACAAACAACTCAGAAAAAGCTGGAAATGGAGCTGTGGTTCAAGTGGTAGAGCACTAGCCTTGAGCACAAACAGGCTCAATAACAACAAACACTCAAGTCCAGAGTTCAACCCTTAGCACCAGCAATACATACATACATACATACTTAAAATACACTATATGCAAAAATTACTAAAAATAAACTTCAAGCTGACCTCATGTCTATAATCTTAGTTAGCTACTCAGGAAGCAGAGATTTGAGGATCATGGTTTAAAGCCAGCCCAGGCAGGAAAATCTGTAAGACTCCTATATACAAACTACTAAACTACCCAAAAAGCTGAAAGGGAGCTGTGACTCAAGAAGTACAGCACAGGGCTGGGATGTAGCTCAGTGGCAAAGCGCTCGCCTAGCAAGCGCAACGTCCTGGGTTCGATCCCCAGTACCAAAAAAGAAAAGACAAAAAAAAAAAAAAAGAAGTACAGCACAAACCTTGAGCAAAATAAATTCTGGGACAGCAACTAGGTCCTGAGTTCAAGCCTCAGGATTGACCAATCAGTCGATTAATGCATAGTGTCATGAGCCTGGCCTGACAGGTACATGGGAACATATGCTAGAGAAATCCAGTCCACTCTCACCTGGAGATAAACATGAAACCCTATTGTCCATTTGCTTTTAAAAAGTATAGAATAATTTATAAGCAATTTATAGGCAATTCTGGATTTCAGTGTAAAATATGAGTTATTCCAGTGAGAGTCAATCTACAAACACAAAAATGTCTATTGCATTTATTTGACAGAACATACACATTAGCACTAAGGCATTTAAGAACAAATTAAAATGTTAACAAAATTAATGTCTTCAAGAATCTTTTCTTAAAACTTTCCCTCATATCAATATACAGGTTTGGGAAACAGCAATATTTCAGTCAATACTTAAGTCAAGATAAATTAGCATGATTTATCTGAATCTTCACAAGTGTAGCTCCAGTGTGTAATACTTACTCTAATACTTCATAGTTAGACTTCTTTTCTAACGCATTGCCTCGCATCTCCCAGTATGATCGCCTAAAATCAGGGAAGATATAAATGTGTATGTGTATACAAGGAATCGTTTGTTGTTAAAAGACAAAAACTGGGGAGAGGTGCCTAAGCAGAGTAAATAAATAATTCACAGTTTTTTCACAGTCCATCCAAGATTTTGTTGATAATAGTATAAGGAAAGGGAAAATATCTGGAAAGTTTTCAAAAATAATGAGAAATATGAATGAATACAGAATACAGTATACAGTTGCCACCTACCGTATTTCTAGACAACCCAACTTCAAAGCAATCTCCTGGTCCACCTGATCAGCTATCTCTAACATGTAGTCGCTCTTCACCTGTGAAAGAAGGAATGGGAAATAGCTGTTTTTTAAAGGAATAGTTTTTCAATGCAATTGCTTGATAAACTTCTGCTGAGTACCTTGTACATGTCTGTTTAAACTGTGTCAATATCTATGCTTAATTCTAAACAGAAAATTAGTATTATCAAAATAACCAAAAGAGTAGCATTTTCTTACCAAAAGAGGCCCTTAGAGGCTAAGAAAGCACACATGGAACTTCAGAAACAGCTCACACGCTGCACCACATTTATGTGAAGGTTCTGTATGCCTTTCCCAGGTGTTCAAAAACAAAAACAAACTGGGACCTCTCCTCTAATATACAGTGAGACAAGCCTAACTACGTATATCCCAGGAGGACCCTGAACATGTGCCCCTCCTGCCTCTGCCCTCTTGAGTGCTGAGACAGACGCGTGAGAAAGCTCAGCCATTACTGGTCAGTACTCAGACAAGTGACTGAAAACCAGTATATGTTTCCAGCACACATACTAGTCAGGCTAAATTGAAAAATGGAGTAGGAACAACAGGAACTCATGTGCTACTAATATAAAAATTTAAAAACAATTTTGGCAGAGGGACTGGCATTTTCTCAAACCAAGCTATTAAATTTCAGAAATAATGATGCTTACACTAGCTTAGTCATTAACAGTAGTAAAAATGATGTTTATAATTATTTATAGTCACTTCATTAACAGTACTTTGAGAAAAAGGTAAGATATCCATTAATGAGAGAATTTTTTTAAAGCCTTACAATATATTTATACAACAGAAAACGCCTCAATAATAAAAAGAAACAAATGACTGAAATCTCAAAAACATGATCCTAACTAGCCATACTGGTGGCTCACACTTACTATGCTAGCTACCTGGAGGCTCAGAATTATATGATCAGAGTTCAAACACAGTATGGGCAAAGTTCATAAGACTATCTCCTCAAAAAGAACCAACACAGGCTGGGAATGTGGCTCAATGGTAGAGTGCTTGCCTAGCATGCATTAAGCCCTGGGTTTGATTCTTCAGTACCACATAAACAGAAAAAGCCAGAAGTGGTGCTGTGGCTTAAGAGGTAGAGTGCTAGCCTTGAGCAAAAAAAAGCTCAGGGATAGACCTTGAGTTCAAGCCCCAGGACTAGCACAAACAAAAACAAAAACAGAAACAGAAAAAAAAAAAACCACAAAAGCAACAACAACAAAAAAAAACAGAGCTGGAGGCTCTAAGTTCAAATCTCAGCACAATTAAACAAGACAAAAAACATGATGCTGAAAACAAAGGCATACATTAAAAACAGACCATGTGGGGCTGGGAAGGTGGCTCAGTGGAAGAGTGCTTGCCCTGCATGCATGAGGCCCTGAGTTTGATTTCCTCAGCACCACATAAGCAGAAAAAAGCTGGAAGTGGTGTTCTGGCTCAAGTGATAAGAGTGCTAGCCTTGAGCTGAAGAACTGAGGGACAGTGCCCAGACCCAGCGTTCAGGCCCCACAACCAGAGGGCAGGGGGGGTTGGAGATACAGACCATGTGAATTGGTTTATAAGGAAAAAAAGATAACCCAAACCACAGCAGTGGTAAAACAGGAACACAGGATGCTTGTAATTGAGGTGGGCTAATTGGAAAGGGTTGACAGGAAGCACTGGGGGTGATAACAATAGTCTACTTCCTGAAAGGCAGTTAGATGAATGCATTTGTGAAAATTCAACAATACAAACATATTAGCTGCATACTTAAGTACATATAAATATTACATTTTTAAGCTGTAATTCAATACTGAACTCTAAAACAATATTCATGTTATATACTTTAATCAGAAATTATAATGAAATATCCCCAAGATGAGCAGATAAAAGGTAAAGGGATGGGCTGGGAAGGTGGCTCAATGGTAGAGTGCTTGCCTTGCATGCATGAGGCCCTGGGTTCAATTCCTCAGCACCACATAAGCAAAAAGAAAAAAAAAGCCGGAAATGACGCTGTGGCTCAAGTGGTAGAGCGCTAGCTAGCCTTGATCTGAAGAGCTGAGGGACAGCGCACAGACCCAGAGTTCAGGCCCCATGACTGGAC